TGGGTCGTGGGAGGTTTGGGAAACCTAACATGTTGTTAGTGCTTATGATAAGGCACTCAGTACTTAGTTTTTTATTTGACAAAAATCAAAAATCAATCAAAATCCCTTTTTGAAAATACAGCAACGTCATCTAGTGCTTAGTAGAAGCAGCTAATTGAAATTTCTTTTAACGCCCAACAATACACCCCCTCCCTCATTATTTGTTTATTCATGTGAATAGATGCAAACGACTCTTATGTTCGATATTCAGGAAACGTGCGTCAAAGACGGAGGAGAAGGCGTCATTCTTTATTAAATTAATGAATTTTTAAGCATCATCACTACAGTCGGACTCGCCCGTCGGAGGTTTCGGTGACATTCGGAGGTTACGAATCGTTCGGGCCGAACAATTCGCTCAAACGGTCACGTAGAAGTAAAATTTCTCGTTAATTTTAATCACAACGACGAATGAAACACAGAACTGGAGGGAGAAATCATTTATTGCACAGGGGTGGTTTCCTCGGGCCGGGTGTCGCACTGGTCGGGCTGCGGGGGCTGCGGGGGCAGGTCGAGCTGCAGCTCCAGCGGCAGCGCGTGCAGGCGCAGGCGGCGCTCCAGCAGCAGGTCCGCCAGCGCCGCGCCCTCCGCGCCCCACGCCGCCCCGCGCACGTACAGCCACTTGTGCTGCGGGTACGCGTCCAGCGCCTCGTACAGCACCGTGCGGGGGTCGAGGGGCCCGCGCGGGTCCCGCGCCGCCAGCTCCAGCGCCGCGGCGTAGGCGGGCGCGCCCCCGCCCCCGCGCGCCCCCGCCCGCCGCGCCGCCGCCGCCGCCGCGCGCCCCGCCGCCCCCGCGCCCGCCAGCCCCCCCGGCCCCGCGCCCAGCGCCGCCAGCAGCGCATGCAGCAGCGCGCCCCACGCCGCCGTCTCCGTCTCGCGCGCGCCCCCGAGCCCCGCCCCGAGCCCCGGCCGCCCCGCCCGAGCGTCCGCCCCGCCGCGGCCTGGCGACCACCGACTATCATAAAAAACACATAGAACGGAAGCCCCCCCCGCCGTCCGGAATCTAAGCCCAGAGCCGCCGTCCCCACCGACCGAGCACGACGCGTCCTCGTATTCCTCAGAATGAGTCGATGCTCATTTTTCACCCTTCCTTATCTTTCTTATTATATCAATACGGATATCAAATAAAAGAGTTCGAGTAGTAGAATACTATAGGTACATTATGACAAATTACAAATCCGATATGGTCACCGTCATAAAATTGCAAAATTATATAATATGTACAGACAGCCACACGTTGGGTTACCACAATCTAACACTGAAATAATTTTTCAAATGGGAGTAGTTCTTGAGATTAGCGCGTTCAAGCAAACAAACGAACAAATTCGTCAGCTTTATAATATTACTAGTAGTGTAGATTACTTATTGAAAGCGTGAAGTTATTTGAACTTATATTATTATATGGTAAGTTAGAGTTAAATCGGTGTAGCTGTTACAAATTAGGGGGGGGGGGGGAGTAAAAGTGGGGATGACCAATATTTATTCTTTATCGCTTCTCAGTCTGTGCAATTCTGCCAAAGCCAGTTTGTAAAAGAAGAACTAGAAAAAGATAATCACCAAATTAACTGAATAGTAACTTGCAAAAAAAAAAAACAGAAATGAAGGTTAACTAGGAAATTTAAAAAATTCTTACACAATATAATAAAAATAAATGAAGTAAAAAGCTTAAAAACACATTAAAAAAACTACGACTGAACGATCCACAAATAATGCAAGAAAGGGATAAACGTGAAACCCTTTAAAAGGAAAAAAAATAACCTCGACGTTATGACCCTACATAATTACAGACAACAGCATGTCGGACTATTTCACTTCGAACTTTGCGCTAATATCGAACTGCAAGCAGTAAAGTTGACCTGCTGTCGATCGTACATATGAATTATTTTTATTAAATGTTGTCGCGTCGGGGGACTAATTCAAATTTTACCAATCAAATCTTCCCAAGGGACCCCGACTGAGTCGTTCTGTTCTGCATTAGAATTTATGATTCGTTTTATGCGGGTATCGATTATAGAACTATTTCAATCGTGTAGTAATTTATTATCACTCAACAGACTTCTGAACCGTCGGGCTCGTTTCTTTCTTTTTAGTTTTTATTCAAGTTATTTTTTTCTAATTCGATTTTACGTAGGCGGGTTTTTTATATAGCAACGTATCTATCGAGAAGGGATCGACGACAACGAGGCACTTCACCGTTTCGGCGACAGCGGAAGCGGTAAACGTTTTACTTCGATATTAAAATACGTATTCGAAACGTTCGCGCGGAAACTACAATAAGTTCCCGCTCGTAATATAATAATAGTATCGGGGCCCGAGAGACCCCGGGAGTGGCGGGGGCGAGACGTACATACGGCCAGCAGCGCGTTGTGCGGCGCGTGCGGCGCCAGCGCGTGCGCCCCCCCGCGGGTGTGCGCCCCCCCACGCCCGTGCAGCAGCAGCGTGCACGCCGCCTGCTCCCAGTAGCGCGCCGCCGCGCTGCCCTGCGCACGCGGACAATGGACATGTACAGTTCGACTCGTTAATCTGACCGTTTTAAATTCGGGGAATATTTAACATTGATTTTCTTATATCATAAAATAGATTTCAGTACCTAGATATATTTAGATGAAGAAATAAATATATACTTAGATTTTTTTTGAGGGACGAAAACAAAAAAAAATTTTTTTCGCGACTGACTTTATCGACGTCACTAATGTGATGCATTCCGATTCCGACGTTTTTGACTAGGATAATAATACTAGTGGTGCGGGCCGCCCGCTCTAATTTTAAAAACCGTCCTACGATTTCACCGAATAACGCTCCGCTTGTGCGATTCGGACCAGCGGCGATGGCTAACGTGACGCATCACGTCGCTCGCCGGGCGTATGCGCATCCTTGTCGCACGCGTTCGCTTTGTGATGACGCATGCCCGCTCGCGTCGTCGCACCGTCGGCCGAACGACGACTACTCTGCTCATAACTTAGCTTGCGCATGACCGTCAGATCTCTAATGATTAATAATTTGCTAATTTTTACTATTTCATATAATTCTTTTCATGTATTTCAATTCTATTCTGTGTGCGATTAATATATATTAATATTGTATTCACTCTTAATGCTCGTGCTTCTTTTCTTTCTCGTGAACTGTGTCGTTTTGTCCTGTCTAAAGTGAATATCGATATCGGGTTCGACTCCTCTCCCGAATTTAATGTAGGATTGCCACATCCGATATCCTACACTGAGATAAGGATTTCTTCTATTAGGAGCACCTTTGTCCTACTAGACTACCGATTGAAAACGTTAAATGCAATTTTTTGTTATAAGGAAATAAAGGTCCCGGGAGTTCGGTGGACACCGACGAACTTCCTAACCGGCCGCCGGGCAGGAGGGGGGGAGCCGAAGGAACGACGACCTCCTGGACATGGGCATATTTGCCAAACTGAAAGCACTAGTTCAGGTCCGCACCTCGGACAGGGTGCATCGTTTCGGGCGCGCTCCGGGGAAATAAATTCAAAAGAGTGGGTTTTTCGCGTGAACCCCCATTAAATTATATATCAATAGACGCCTAATCACTAGACCTACACGGGGTAGTATCGTTTATGTGATTCCGATAATTTCTGAAAAAGTTATACGCGAAAACCGGTTCTTCGCTGGCGTCATACTAAACTAATCAATACAACTCTACTCCAAAATCATCTCAAATAGTTTACTCAAGTATAATTAACCTAATTTCTTCTAAATCAAGTGTAAATAATCGAGTTAATAGACAATTAAATCAAAATTCAGTGAAAAACTATTCAAAGTGTTCCGATCGGTTAAGGTGAAACCGAATGAGACGTTAAATATCGCGCGGAAACCATCAGAAGGGTGCCTCCTGGAGGAAAACTAGACACCTACATAAGTGAGTACCCGGAGTGAATATAAACAAATCGGTTCCTATCGAAGATAACCTGAAAAATTAGTGAAAAGTGTCCAGTGTTCAGTTCTGTTAAGATCAAGTAAGTTAAGGTCGTTCAGTTCAACAACAGTACACCTTGCTGAGCAGGGTCGGCACTGGCACATTTGGCAGAGCCGGGCATGAGCCGCACTCCAACCTCGGACCAACATCTCAACACTAAGCCAAGCCGAGCTGGGCCCGCATCTGACCACCTTACCGCGCGGGGCGGCATCTGAACATCTTGCTGAGCAGGACCAGCAACCGTACATTCGGCAGAGTCAGGCAGAACAAAGTATTAATTTACACAAGTACAATTAACCCAGTTCCATCTAAATCAAGTGATTATAATTAATTAAAGACAATTAAAAATCAAATTTAGTGAAAAACTGATCAAAGTGTTCCGTTTGGTTAAGGTGAAACCGAATGAGTCTCTAAATATCGCGCGAAAACCATCAAGAAAGTGCCTCCTGGAGGAAAACTAGACACCTACATAAGTGAGTACCCGGAGTGAACATAAACAAATCGGTTCCTATAGAAGATAACCTGAGAACTTAGTGAAAAGTGTCCAGTGTTCAGTTCGGTTAAGATCAAGTAAGTTAAGGTCGTTCAGTTCAACAACAGTACACCTTGCTGAGCAGGGTCGGCACTGGCACATTTGGCTGAGCCGGGCATGAGCCGCACTCCAACCTCGGACCAACATCTCAACACTAAGCCAAGCCGAGCCGGGCCCGCATCTGATCACCTTACCGCGCGGGGCGGCATCTGAACACCTTGCTGAGCAGGACCGGCAACCGCACATCCGGCTGAGTCAGACAGGGGCTACAACATCTTCGAGGACGCAATCTCACCACCGAACACTGCTCCTACCCCACGGCGTGACAGGACGAATCATCCCCGAACCGAATGGCTGCCGGTGTCGGCTGTCACGCGACGGCGACTGCTGACCCGCAACCATGTTCCAACCATGCTCCAACTTCAGACCGGCACCCCAACCCCAACATCATACTGTCCGAGCTTGCATCCGGGCGCCTCGCTGAGTGGAGCGGCATCTAAACATCAAAATCATTGAACTGAACGGAACTGAACACCTTGCTGAGCAGGGCCGGCATCTGAACAATCCGAATAACAACTGAATTGAATCGGTACATCCCAACACCAACACAATACAGAGCCGGGCCCGCATCTGAACACCTTGCTGAGCAGGGCCGGCATCCGCATGTCCGGCTGAGTCGGGCAGAAGTTTCAACATCTTCAAGAACGCAAGCTTGCCGCCGAGCGCGGCTTTTGTTCCGTGGCGTCGCGGGACGGGCTGCCCCCGCGCCGAGCGGCTGCCGGCTCCGGCCGCCGCGCGGCGGCGACTGCTTACCCGTAACCATACTCCAACTTAAGGTAGGAACATGCATTACATTCTCCTCTACAAAACGGGCCAACACTTCTGCCACCCGGACCACCGAACTGGGCCGCTCACGCCGAGCCGGACACCGAACCAGCTGCGGCCGCCTGAAACTCAACTGATCATCACTATTACTATTTCTCAATTGTTGTAATAATTAATTCAAAATACAATTATGATCAGTGTTCTTCTCAAGTGCAACTATTAATTCATAATTAGATTCAATGATGATTGTCATAATTATTACCAATTGATCAACTACTTAGGATTTATTATTTTTTATTTTGTATTTTTAATTTTATTTTTATTTTTACTTTTGATTATTTTGTTTTAAATTTGTGATTTTTGTGATTTATGAAATACTAGGATCATATTCAAAAGTTAAGTTAATATCCGTACAAGTATGTTCAGATCAAACCTGTTCAACTATGTTAAGTTCAAGTTCAAGTTGTTCCATAAATAACATTAATATTGGTCCCGGCTTGCTAAAAATTGTAGGATTGATGAAATCATTAACGACTATGAAACCGGTTCAGATCGGTTCCATTATGTTCAAATTGTCATGTTAATATCCATACAAGTGCGTTCAGATTAAACCTGTTCAATTATGTTAATATCCGTACAATTGCGTTCAGATTAAACCCGTTCAATTATGTTAATATCCGTACAGGTGCGTTCAGATTAAACCTGTTCAATTATGTTAATATCCGTACAGGTGCGTTCAGATTAAACCTGTTCAATTATGTTAATATCCGTACAATTGTGTTCAGATTAAATCTGTTCAATTATGTTAATATCCGTACAGGTGCGTTCAGATTAAACCTGCTCAATTATGTTCAAATTGTTCCAAAGGTCATGTTAATATCCGTACAAATAGGTACAGATCAGAGTTGTTCAATTACGCTAAGATCATGTTCAAGTTGTTCCGTAAATATGTTAAGATTATGTTAATATCCATACAATTGTGTTCAGATCATACCTGTTCAATTACGTTAGGATCGAGTTCAAGTTGTCCCATAAATATGTAAGTTCATGTTCAAATTTGATAAGTTAATATCAGTACAGTCATGCTACATAAATTATCCCATTATCTCAAAGTTGATTATAAAAAAAAAAAAAAAAAAAAAAAAAATTATGTTATGATTAGTAAATCAAATTTACCATTATAAAAACATTCTAGTTATTTAATCAAAGGCCTTTATTTATTTAATTAAGTTATCCTTATAAGTTAATCAAAGTTGATTAAAGTTCAAAGCTCAATATAGATCATGATCATGTAACAAGTATCTAATTATTATTCTTATAATTTACGATATGTAACCTATCAAATCAGATGTATGATTATTTCACCAATGTATCAATATCATATGATTATACGATAATCAGTTAATTAGCAGTCAATCAACCGAACTAGCCATTATGTAATAATATATCCATTGAACATAACCATCCAATGTAAATTCACAATAACTAGCCTGCTTCACTCCACTGTAACAATAACTCATAATCCATTAGTGTAACTTTTATTTCAGATTCACCTAGGTTAGGAAGGGAATCAATTTCTACCTTAATCATCCAGCTCAATTTCACATCAGTATCATTAAGCAATAAGTAAAAACTTTTTCCCATAGACCGGGTTATACCTCCAGCTTATACTGAAAGGAAGAGGTTTAAGCAACATTAGGAAATGCAGCAGGGGCCGGTCGCCCCAGGACCAGTAGCATGGTGACGGGGCCCTGGGGCGATTGGCCCGAAGGCCGTACCGGTCTACTGCTTGACTACGCGGTTTCAGGTCAACGCACCAAGGTGTATCTGCCGGAGTCTGGAGCGCTCTCCAAGGCCCGGCTCATGATGACCCACAGCGCGGCTCCTGCCTTTCTTCCCTCCCCCTATAGCTAGCTCAACTGCAAGTATAGGGGACCGGCCTGGCACCGTTGTCGGGCGGCTCCTTCCTTACTTCAGGAAAACAGGAGCACCCCTTGACATGAGTGCAGGCTCGCCAAGTCAGGCAACTTTACCATCTTGCGAGGGGCCGCCGCCGCAGTTTACCACCTTTCTCTTCCCTCTTCTTTTTTAGATTCCGCTGGAGCAGACACGACTCGGGGCGATCCTAGCAACTAACTAACTCACTCAGCAATAGACTCATCCAGGCTAGGAAAGGAAACAATTGTAATCCTACTAACTTAAGTATACCTTACAAGTTCTTAGTTACTGTAAACTGTATTTTACTACCACTATCTCATGAAGGAAACAATAAGGCCTTATGCCATTCTCGTTATTGCCGCCGGGGCCGGTAGCCCCAGGGCCAGTGGTGTGGAGGGCGGGGCCCTGGGGCCATCGGCCCGACTGCTGTACCGGGTTCCCGTCTGAACAACTAGAGCGCTAAGGCAAATCCGCTGAAATCAGTAATGCTCTCCGGAACCCGAATTTCGGCAGCGCAGCTCCTGTCTCTTGTTTCTTCTTCTTATTCCTCCCCCTGTAGCTAGCTCAACTGCAGGAGCGGGACGGGAGATCGGCCTGACATCTTTGCAGTGCCTCCCTGTCCTCATCTTGGAATGGAAATGGCGCCCCCTCGATAGGGGTGCGGGCGCCTCAAAGCAAGAAAACCTTACCAGCATTTCAGGGGCTATAGCGGCTTACGACCTCTTCTCTCTCCCCTCTCTTTCTCTCCCTTTTTCTCCCCCAGACACAATGAAGGAGAAGGTGACTCTTGGGTGCGGCCGGGGCCGGTATCCCCGGGGCCAGTGGCGGGGATGATGGGGCCTTGGGGATGTCGGCCCGGCTGCGGCGCCGGGTTTCCGCTCGAACAATTTCGGACCGGAAGATCAACTGTGCAGCTCCCGTTTGTTTCTTTCTTCTTATTTCTTCCCCTGCAGCTGGCCTGGCTGTAAGGACGGGATGGGAATCGGCCTGACATCATCGCAGGAACTCCCCGTCCTCACCTCGGGATGGAAGAGGCGCCCCCCCGCGAGGGGTGCGGGCGCTTCAAAGCAAGAAAACTTTACCAGCACGGCAGGGGCTGCATTGGCTCGCGATCTCTTCTCTTTCTACTCTCCCCCAGATCCAGCGAAGGAGGAGACGACTCTCGGCGATCATTTCAACTCGAACAGCATCAATATAACCTACACCCTTCCGTCACGCCCGAGAGTCGCAACACACAGGGGTCCATGATCGCCGCGGCGCCTCGCGGCCGCAACCACCGCCATCGGTGGAGGCGGCCGCGGGGCGGCGGGGCCCTCATCATCCTGGACACCCTACTTTCGCATCATCATTCATCATTCACGCTCCATCACACCCTCGTCAACCATTTCAATCATCCATTCCTATCTGGGAGCAGGGGTTCTATCCTCACCTCACCCTCGCTTTTCTTCCTTCACCATTCTTCGACCCCTGTTTCCACTTTCTCATCACCCTCTATCCCCTTTTCTTTCTCTCTACCCCTTAGGAGGGGGCTAAATTGGACCATCGAGAAGCTCCCGGGTGAATTCCCACCCCCTCCGCTCATCCTCGCCTCATCATCAGCGCCTCTCCCATTTCTAAAGGGAGTTGGTATAATCCCCCCTCATAAGGGGGATTTAAAGCAGACTCATCCAGGTCCGATAACTAATAACATTTGGAATTTTGTAAAAAAAAAAAAAAAAAACTGAAAGCACTGACCTCAGGCGCGGGCGCGGCGGCGGCGAGGCGGCGGTGGAGGAGCAGGTTCTCGCGCGGGTCCCCCAGCCGCACGCGCGCCGCGGCCCACTCCCCCGCGCCCGGCAGCAGCCACCTCAGCAACGCCTCGTCCCCGTTTCCGTCCCCCTCCCTGTCCCCCTCGCTATGGGGCGGCGTCGACGAAAACTCGCTCTCCAACTCCTGCCGAACGTGTACGTAAATATATGTACGTTCTTGGTCAGCTCTTGTCCACGCAGGTATCACGTTAAAATACATGGGTGCTTTTTCGTTCGCTACTAATCCGGACGTCGACGACGTTTCCGAATTTATTGAATCAATTATTAGAATAAAATATATATATATACAAAAAAAACATATCTATTCGGCATCGCCGTTTTTGTAGGGTCATTCGCGGGCCTGCTACTCTCAGTTTAAAAGTCATTATTTGAAAGGGAGAAAATATTGGAAATCGTACCTGGGGCGGAGATAATTTTTATTTTATATTTTATAAAACATGAAATATATCAATAATCTAATAATTCAAAAACTCATCATAAGTTTAATTTTCAAAGTCTCTCGCGAAAACGCCCCTTCTATCGGGGCGTCGCTCCGACATCGCAGCCCTCTGAAACGAATATTCGTTCTACGGACGCACAAGGTTTTTTAATATGAAACAGAAGGTCGGGACTTCCCGCGCTGCTAGCGGCGACGTTAAAACGGGTAAAATATTTGCTCTTTTTCATAATCTATTTCAACAATATTATTAATATAATAAGCTCAAAAGTGTACAGAAAAAAAATGTATCTATTTTCGTCCCTTATCTACACCCGTTAATTAATAATAATTAATCGTATTTAACATTTATTTGTCAAGGGTCAACTAGGGAATTTTCTATTTTATGGAATGTATAGTTACTTCGCATCGTCGGAGGCACGCCTGCTTGGCCTCCTGCACGAGGGCGGCGGGCGGCGGCTGCTGCAGCACCTCGTCGGCGGGCAGCGGCCGCTGCAGCGCGGCGCACACGAGCGCCCAGGCGGCCGCCTCCCCCTCCCCCTCCCCCGCGAGCTCCCGCAGCACGCGCGCGGCGTAGAGGCGCGTGGCCCCGCTCTGGTCGCGCAGCGCCGCGCGCACCGCGTGCACGCACACCAGCACGCCTGCAAGAGTGCGCCCGCTCGTCGTAACGCCGCGGCCCGACGCCGCCGAACGACTCGCGAGAGTCGGGCCCGGGACGAGTGATCGAAAAATTGTTATCGCGAGCTCCTCGACGATGATGAATTTCGAAATATAAGGCGCGAGGGTTATGATTTTCAAAGGAGCGATCGAGGACGTGTTATTTTTTACCATCGGTCCGTCCGAATCTGTCTTCTGTTAACCGCAGGAACGGCCGGAAGAGAATATCGACGGGGCTACGTTTATTACAGGATAATATCGACATATGAACATCGGTCTTAGTCTATACGCCGCACCGCGCACCCGTTTACGCTCACTTAAAAAGTGAAGTCAGTGAACAGTACGCGTTCATTGAGATCATAGTTAACTGTATCAAATTTCCTGTTCCTGTCAAATGAAGTGCTAAACGTAACGAGATAGTAACCGATGCTGTGGAATGCAGTCAGTGCCATTCTTTTAATCACTTTGGATGCGCGAGGATAGCAGAAACTAGCTACCGTAAGATCGAAGCCGAAAAAAGGCAAGCTGGCGTTGTATGCAATATCGAACTCCTCTAGTTAAGATGGATCTCAATGTGTCTGAAATTCTGCAGGAACTAAAAGCAACTTAACTTTCCAAAAAGTCTATAAGTAATGGATACTTTCCTATTATTTGAAAGCTAGCTCAAATAACTCCCATACCAAAAGGTTAATTTGTCACTGACATTGAGAGATACCGTCCTATATCAAAACTCTGCCAATTTGCTAAGGTCCTGGAAAAAATTGTCAATGACCAAATTTTTACAGCAGTTCGAAGATTAATTATTTCTAATCAACACTTTTTCTTTAAGGATCGTAGCGTTGATACCAATTTGGTTACTTTCACCGATATAATTTTGAACGCTATGGATGACAAGTTACAAGTTGACGTTATATACACAGATTTGTCCAAAGTATTTGACAAAATTTGTCATAATACCTTACTGTTAAAAATTTGGAAGCTTGGGATCCATGGTGACTTGTTAAGGTGGATTAAATCCTATATAGAAACTAGAAGTCAAGCCGTAGTGTATACTGGTTACACTTCGTCTTGTAAACCTATTAGTTCAGGAGTGCGCCAGGGCTACCACTTATGTCCGTTATTATTTATTATATATATTAACGAGATCACCGATAACTTGAATAATTCAACTCTGATGCTGATGATACAAAAATACTTAGTTATTCGTAACAAAGATGATTGTGTTTTGTTACAGCATGATCTTTAGAAGTTTGAGGCATTCTGCGATAAAAATAGTATATTCATATTGACAAATGTTATACAATCACTTTTTCTAGAAGATTGAATCCCATTGTTTTTGATCATACTTGATGTGAAAAGATACTACGAAAAGTTAGTGAAGTTCATGATATTCACTTGACTCTAAGCTGACTTTTACTACGCACATAATAAAATAATTAAAAAGGCATTTAAACAGCTCGGTTTCATACTCCGTGTTAGTAAACCATTTAAAAATCCGCTCACCTACAAGTTATTGTATAACGGATACGTCGAAGTCACTTCGATTTTGCTTGTTTGGCAGCCTATCTTTGATACCCACGTCAAGAGAATTGAAAGAGTCCAGCATAAATTTATTATAGCTTTAGATTTTCGTACTGGTCGAAATTATATTGATTATGAAACATCTGCAAAGCATCATAACATAACTCCTTAAAGAACGCCGTGATCTTTGTGACGTTGCTTTTCTTTATAAATTAATTAATAATCTTATCGATGCCCCTGAACTTTTAAATAAAATTTTATTTCGTATTCCCCGACCATGTGAACGACTCGTCGCAAAAAGATTCTTTTCTCATATCCGGTTGCAAAGACCTGCTATGGATCTTGTAGAACATAGGACCAAAAATTTTACGCAAACTTAAAAGAATTCAAGAAAAAATCACTTGAAATTTTATCATATCATCTCACGAAATGTGCAAGAGGAAGAGGGGTGTATTTTTTTTTCTTTTTTAGTCCCATTTAATCTATACTAATATTATAAAGAGGAAAACTTTGTGAAAACTTTGGGCTCAAAAACTAATGGACCGATTTTAAAATTTTTTTCATCATTTGAAAGCTACATTATCCACGAGTAATATAGGCTATATTTTATTTTGAAAAAAAAATAGGGTTCCTTAAAATATTTGGGATTTACGGACACAAGGTGTAAAAAATCAACAAGAAAAGTTACTAATTTTGCATACGCTGCTTTTATAGTTTAAAAGATAGAATCATAAAATATTTTAATTATTTGTAGATACTAGACATTTGGCGAAAAATAGAGAGGATAGACAATCTCAGTCAACAAGATCATTAGAGCAAATAATCATAAAACAATTAGAAAAAATATATCTTCTCGTACAATAATTAAGTTCCCTAATGGGGCTTCTAACGACAATAATAGCCCAAGGCAAAAAATTAAGTTCCTTCGCATAGCAACATGGAATATCAATGGCTTGTCTCCTAATAAGCAAGAAGTAGAATTGTTCATTAATTACAATAATATAGATATCCTTTTAATATCAGAATCACACATGACTGATGAGAAAATCATAAAAATTTAAGGGTTAGAATATTTACTACACCAATCATCCGGACGGAACATCACATGCTGATGCTGCAGTTATAATAAAGGAAAATATTAACAGCATTCTCTTCCAAATTTCAAGCAATCTTTTGTCCAGGCTGCAATAGTATTTATCGATGACTGGCAGGGTCCGCTTGTGTTCACCGCGCTGTATTGCCCACCTAGACATCGCATCAATGAACAAATGTATAATAATTTCTTCCAAACTCTTGGTGCCATATTCATTGCTGGAGGGGATTGGAACTCCAAAAATACTTTTTGGGGTTCTAGGCTGACCACAACTAGAGGTAGGGAACTAAAAAAGGCTATAGATACAAACTCACTAAACGCCTTGTCATCGGGGGAACCAACTTACTGGCCATCAGATCCAAATAAAACACCTAATCTTGTTGACTTCTTCATCACCAATGGAATGTCAGATCTATACACAAAAGTGGAGTCATGTCTGGATGGTTCTTCCGATCATTCATCAGTTTTATGTACTGATCACCATCACCACGATCTGATCACCACGGTAATATGGAAAGATACTAATGAAAAATTGTACAATAGCAAAACAGACTGGAGGTCTTTCCAGGACTACATACAGGAAAATGCAGATCTACATATGCCGTTGAAAACTGAGGAGCACATTGAAAATGCTGCCTGGTATACTACTAATCTAATTCAAGTAGCTGCCTGGTTATCTACTCCGCATACTGAGTACAGCCCACAAAAATATGACTTTATTACGCTGGAAATACGAAATATGATAACTGTTAAGTGAAGATTGAGAAGACAATGGCAAACTAGCAGGAATATGCATGATAAAAAGACATTTAATAAAGCGCAAAAAGAGCTGAAAAGAAAAATCAAAGAAAATGAAAATCAAACACTTTAAGATAAAATAAAAACTTTATTACCTTTTAAATGAGACGACTACTCACTCTGGAAAATAACGAAATCACTAAAAAGGCCAAAAGAACACATACCTCCATTAAGACAACCAGATGGTAACTGGGCTAGGAAGCCTGTAGAAAAAGCAGAACTGTTTGCTCAACTTTAAAGAAGTTTTTAAACCAAATGAGCCTGACATTATGTTTCCAGAGAAGGAATTCGACGACATTCTTGATAGCGATCAGCAGATGTCCCTGCCGTTACGGCTATTTACTCCTTTTGAGATCAGAAATAGTATCAAAAAATTGAAAAAGATAAAGGCATCAGGATTTGATTTAATCACGTCAGAGATATTGAATCGTCTGCCAAGGAAGGGAATTGTTTTCATAACAATCCCTTAGAATGCAATCCTCAGATAACATTATTTTCCCCTTATGTGGAAAGTTTCAATCATAAATATGATCGGAAAGCCAGGCAAACCGGCTACAGAAATTACCTCATACAGACCTATAAGCCTTGTGTACCTCTGTTATTCAAACTGTTTGAGAAGTTGCTACTGAAGCGATTGCTTCCTATACTTGAAGAACGAAATACAATACCAGACCACCAGTTCGGATTCAGACCACAACATGGAACGACTGAGCAAATACACAGGGTGGCCCACACAATACGTCAATCTCTGGAAAGGAAGGAATACTGCTCGGCTGTCTTCCTTGACATTCAACAGGCGTTCAACCGAGTGTGGCACAAGGGTCTCTTATGTAAATTGAAGATTTCCTTGCCACATACTGCATACATGCTCCTCAAGTTTTACCTGCAAGACCGATTGTTCCAAGTAAAGTACGGAGACTGTCTGTCCCAATGCTACTAAATAGAAGCTGGAGTACCGCAGGGATCTGTTCTCGGGCCTATATTATATACAGTATACACTGCTGATCTGCCTACTTCCAATTAAATCATCACCGCAACTTATGCAGACAATACCGCTGTTTTGTCTTGTGATAGGTGTCCTATAACTGCATCGCTGAAACTTCAAAGACAACTTGATGTTATAGAATCGTGGTTAAGAAAATGGAGAATCAAAGCCAGTGTCACAAAATCTATGCATATAATTTTCACTTTAAAAAGAGATAGCTGTCCACCAGTGACATTTGGTGGAAGTATTTTACCACAGCAAAACACGGACAAATATCTAGGTATGCACTTGGACGGAAGGCTCACTTGGCGCGAACACATAAAAAATAAAAGAGAGCAGGCTAACAGAAAATTTATGTAGTTGTATTGGCCGGAGATCTAAACTTAGTCTGGAGAATAAAATCATAATTTATAAATCCATATTAAAATCTATATGGACATATGGTATAGAGCTCTGGGGATCTGCGAGTCGCTCCAACATAGAAATACTGCAACGCTTTCAAATTAAAGCCTTAAAGACACTAAGCAGTGCAATATGGTTCACAAGAAACACTGAAGTACATGAATACTTATACATTCCAACCGTCAAAGAAGATATAGAAAGCTACGCTGTAAGTATCTGTTTAAACTTTTGTATATGAGGTGACATATCGCAGGATGTATATAACCCAAATTGTGAAAAATAAATGTCAAAAAATCTGATTATAGCTGCTAGGCTGATTGTAGATGGATAAATAAAAATTTAAAAAATATGTGTGGATATTATAAATATCGCGGGGCACGTACCGGCGCGGGCCCCGTTGAGGGTGGCCTCGATGCGCGCGAACTGCAGGAAGGGCAGCGGGTGGCCCCCCCCCCACGCGCGCAGCACGCGCCGCGCCGCCCCGCGCGCCTCCGCCCGCCCGCTGGCCTCCTGCCACATCCCACCACATCACAATTATTTATATATAATTAAGGTATCGTTGCGTCGTAGTTCATTCGCTCTCGATCGACGTCGAGGATCGACCGCTCGGCAGAATTCATCGTCGACCATCGATAACGTCCCCGGGAGTTCGTTTGAGAGTATATCGATTGTAAAAAAATTACCTGCGGCGGATTCAGCAGCAGCAGCGTGTGCATCCAGCGAAGTCTCCAGCAGACGAGAGCCAGCCGCGCCGGGCCGGTCACCCATCCGCAGCACGCCTCCCACAGCGCCTCCACCCAGTCGCGGTACCCTGTTCGCGTACAAAGCGCACACTCGTCAGTCTCGGGGGCAACAACTCTCGCAACAAGGTGGGGCGGTTGCGTACTCACCGTGCTGCGGCGCGAAGTAGTGCGGCGGGTCGACCAGCAGCGCCAGCGCGGCGCGGGCGGCGACGGGGCCCTCGGGGCTCGCGGGGCCCGCGGGGGCGGGGGGCAGCCGCCGCGCCGCGCGCACGCAGCCCAGCGCCCCCTCCGCGCAGCACATGCGCATGGCCCCCGCCGCCCCGCTCGCCCCCAGCAGCGGCACCTGCCACGGGGTTCGTTAGTTCATATAATAAATATTTTTCCTAAATCCCATCTTTTTCATTTATCATATCGATAATCTATTAGAAACGAATTGAACGACATCAAAATTTTGTGTTTCTAATAATGCGGCATCGCTTAAAATTTCAAATCCACATCACCGGACGAGTGCTGCGCGAAAATCATTCCAGGAAAGGACGAGATAATCGCGAAGATATTTTTTACGCCGGACAAAATAGGAACCGGTTATAGAAGGAAATTAATTTGAGCGTATTCTATCGCCCCGCGCGCACGAAACGGACGGTTCGCTACGCATTCGCATCATTAGGAGGGAGCGGCGATAAAGAAATACATAAGATTCTTTTGTTTATGTCTTAGGTTGCGGTTCAGCTAAAATATTATCAGGTTTTTCTGTGCGAACGTGCCCTAAATTTCGGTCACATAGAGCGCACAGGGTTACGATCAGCCCCCGGAGGGTGTCCCCCTCGGACCATTGATCTACGTCAAAAGTTGCCGCGATCAGAATCCGGTGGACGTTCCGCTCAAAGTCCGAAACGGCTCCCGACGCGTCGCGGCAAGCGCAGACAGACAGCGTCGCACTTTTGTAACATAACGTTTCATCACAGCGCAAGTTTAAATTTGAAATTTAATTTCGATAATATAAATTAATTACTATGACTGAACTGAAATGCAATTGTAACGAATTTAACTTATAATAAAATCATTATTAAACATCGCCCCGAAGCAATTTTTCGTATCATAGTAGGAGCACTAATCGTATCGGTTACCTAGATTTCGGGGCGGGACCGACGTGTTATTGATGAAGAAACGTTCCGGAGCGTCCGGGACCATATGTAATTAAGCTGTCAATTCCCTTACTGTACCTTGGCCAGCATGAGCAGCGCGACGGCGAGCGCGAGGGGGGCGGCGGCCCCCCCCCGCACCGCGTCGCACACGTCCCCCGCCAGCGGCGCGCGCTGCGGGTCCGCCTGCACAAGCATTCATTCATTCGTTTATTCATTCGATACATATTACATAAGCATGTTTTAAATCATACAAGAACTTCTTGATTCTAATACAAACATTATCTATATGAATTTTCCAATTCATATGATAGTCTAAAGTTAACCCTAGGAATTTAGTTTGTTTTACTTCATCTATTTTAACATCTCGATACTAAATATGAAGTTTGATGTTTCTATAATTATTAAATCGAATATATTTAGTTTTAGTTAGATTTCTTTTTAAATTATGCATGTGAAGGTAATTAATTAAATTGTGAATAACATTATTGATGTCGATTTCATATTCATTAATTGGATAATTTTTATTATTAGATGTCACTATCTATACTAATATTATAAATGCGAAAGTAACTCTGTCTGTCTGCTACTTAATCACGCCTAAACCACTGAACTAATTTGCATGAAATTTGGTATGGAGATATTTTAATACTCAAGAAAGGACATAGGCTACTTATTACCGCGGGAAAATGACGCATTCTCACGGGAAAATAATCTAAATATATATAGCTCAAAAGTGACTGACTGACATAGTGATCTATCAACGCACAGCTCAAACCACTGGACAGATCGGGCTGAAATTTGGCATACAGGTAGAAGTTATGTCGTAGGCATCCGCCAAGAAAAAATTTTGATAAATTCCACCCCTAAGGGCATAAGCTGAGAGGATAAGATTATTTTTTTCAGGTATTTTACACGATATAATGAATAAATATTCGTTAGAAATGCTCAAAGTAACTTTACCACGCGGACGAAGTCGCGGGCAAAAGCTAGTAATATATATGTCATCTGCTAATGAAATGCTTTTACGGTTAGTTACATGCGCAATGTCATTAATATACGACAAGCACAGAACTGGTTCCATTTCATTACCCTGGGGTACGCCATATATTGTGTTCTTATATGTTGATAAGAATGACACTAATTCATTATTTTTGTTTAAATTATTGATAACAACCGCTTTCTATTATGTAGATACTACTTGAACCACTCTAAAGCAGGTCCTCAGATACAAATGGCCTAAGTTTAGTTAAGAGTATATGATGTAAAACGCGGTTCAAAGCTTTAGACAAATCAATGAAAAGGCGACTACAGTACCGTGCCGTATTTACGAGTTTATGTATAGCTGTGGTATATTTATTTTGTTGAAAACCATAGTGTTCTGTACTTATAATATTATATTTTGAACAAAAATCAATGAGGTGTTTATACATTAGCCTTTCCATTAGTTTTGACAGGATCGATATTAATGCAATAGAACGATAACTATTCATTTCATTAGTGTCTGTTTTAGATCTTTAGGGAAAACACCAGTCGAGAACGATAAAATTATTAAATGTGTTAAGATGCAGAGTATGCATATTGTCAACATTTTTTATAGATTTCATCGTATCCTACCGAGTTCGTGTTGGACGTTATACTATTTTATTTCAAATCAATTGTAAAATATATATGGCCATAATACAATCGTAACATAAGAAAATATTCGGGCACTTCACTAGCAATGCAAGCGTGACGTAACCGAACGGGCGGTGCTTCTCAAAAATGTCACGCCCCATCGCTTCAAAACAATCGTACATCGCCATCATAACCTTCGGATATAAAAATTTATTTCGGGGGCCTGTCGAGTTGGTCGAATTTCCGCCTCGATCCTTTGAATATTTGCAGCTCGAAATCGACCGAAGAAATTGGACTATTTAACGATAAAAAACCCGGACATCGAGTGACCTGCAGCTGGTCGGGCGCCAGGTCCGTTGCGGGGCGCCAGTGCGCGGCGGCGCGCGCCCGCTCCACGCGCGCCCACCGCGCCCCCAGCGGCAGCCCCCCCCGCGCCACCGCCTCCTCCGCCGCCGCCAGCGCGCGCTCCGCCTCCGCCCCCGCGCCCGCCCCCGCCCCCGCCCCCGCGCGCGGCGGGAAGGCCGCGCTGGGGGGGAAGTTGACGGTGGCCACCAGCTCCACGAGCAGCACCAGGCTCTCCCACAGGCCGGCCGCGCGCAGCACCGAACCTGCCCGACACCGATCAAAATCCGAAAAGTTTCTTCGATGCCGATATTAGGTCCTAGAGGCGTTCCCCTCCCATCGGGACGCCGAGTCGGTGGCCGTTTTGGTTTTGAATCAAATAAATAATTACCGTTTATTTTATGAAAACGCGGGACCCGGTCGGAAAACGAGCGATCAGGAGGCAAAAGTAATTTTAAAGAGCAGACGACGAAGGGGATCCCTCCGATTTGTCCGGAGAGGGAAACTTGACGAATCACCGAACCCGACGAGGGTCGCCTGTCCCCCGTTTTAACTTAATAAAATTATAAATGACAATAATTAATACGCAATTAGGTTGCAGACCGTCGTACTCGAAATGGTCGGGCGATTCTTTCTACTTCCGCCCGGTGCCCATCGCCTAGTCCGGACTATACTTCTTAATCGAATAAGTGATCACGGGCGGAGGACCGCCTCGATTTAGGGGTGGTTCGAACTACGGTCGCGAGCCGTTTCGAGTAGGGTACGCGGGTGGTTGCGTGTCGGGGGCGGTTACCGTACGCGTAGAGCAGGCGCGGGTAGGCGGGCGCGTGGCGCGCGACGTCCGCCAGCGCGGCGCGCAGCACCTGCAGCGCCCCCTCCCCCGCCCCCGCGCCCGCCCGCGCCCCCGCGCTCTCCACTAGTTCGGCCCACAGCTCACATCGCGCGCTCACCGACTTCTCTGCGAACACACATTCACATTTACATAGTTGTCATTGCATAAAATTCATGTCATGTGCGTATAGCTGACCGTCGGCGATCATGTCCCTCAGCACGGTGAGGTACTCGGTGGCGGGCAGGTGCCGGCGGGCGAGCTCGAGCCGCGCGTCCCGGATGAGCCCCGCGCCCCGCGGCTCCCCCCCGCGCAGCGCCGCCCCCGCCTCCGCCGCCGCCTGCAGCGCCGCCCCGCCCCCGCGGCTCCATTCCTGCGCACGCGCATACATATATATCACTCCGATCCCCCGGCCCAGTTGAACGAACGTGTCGTGTTAAGCTGCCCGAATTCTTATTTACGCATCTCTCCAAAAAGGAGTGTATTCGAGATTGTTGTATGCGTGGTCATGGTAACTTTTGAAAGTCTAGGCTTTATATTTTTGTTTAAATATTCAGCAAGGCGAATGACCGGTTATTTTTCAATTTTATTAAATATATAGATGATGATATCGTATTTCAATAAGCACCAGAAAATGTATGTATCGCAGCCAGAGGTCGACGTCGGTCGGCGCGTCGGCGAGCATGCGGCGGTAGGCGGCGGAGCGCGCGGCCGCCTCGTCGCGCTCCGGCGGCGGAGGAGGCGCCGCGCTCTCGAAGTAACGTTTCGAGTGTCGCCTGCGACGCTCCCGTCGCCCGCCCGCGGTCCCGAGCGTCAACTCGTCGCGCGATGAGTAACTGATCACAAAAAGATATACTAGAGTTAAACTATGCAAGGTATTTTGATTCACTTTGTCCAATGACAAAGTAATATTGAACCACTTCATAGCACTATATTTCTTGTGCAATGAACATGAAAAATAAAACATTAAGATGCCTGAACAACACAGGGTCGGTTGGAATTGACTTTTCGCCTTGTTTTCTGTTAAGTATTGTGCGATGAGATTGCATCTGTCTTTACTTTTATCATTAACCTTTCATTTGAACAAGGATTATTTCCAGAAATTCTTAAACTTTCCTTAGTCAAACCGTAGCACAAAAAGCATAGCAAGCATAATATTAACAACTATCATCCAAAAATAATAATAATACACTTTGTTGCACTCAATATTACACAGGTTACAGGAAAATTACAGTAAGAAGAAACAGAACAAAATTATTCGAATGCAGACATTCTGCGGACGCTGAAGTTTGTGAAAAAGCTCCTCCAACAGATCCGTAGAACATACATCAGCATAGTCAATAATAGACAACAGAAGAGCATGCGCCCAGGTGATTTTAGTACTAGTTGGCAGAAAATTACGTCAGCGACTGAGAGCACCATAAGCAGCAAATACTTTTTTCTGACAGTCTCTACCTGCGGCCTCCAAGAGAAATGATGATCGATGATACCTCCCAAATTTCTAACTGTTTTAGAATAGGGAATTATAGTCCCATTGAACTTTACAGAGGGCAAGCGATCAAAGTCAATCCCAGAAATGAAATGACGGCAGTTAATGCTGGAGATACATTAAGAGATACTATAACACTGAGAATCGGATCACAAGTTTTTTTCATAAACATGATCTTGTATCTGAATATCAGTATGGATTAACAAAATAAGTCTACTACCCTAGCAGCTTTCTCGTTAGTAATAGTAATTGCAGAAAACATTGATTAAAAAAATACCCATAGCTGTAATCTTCTTTCATATGAGTAGGGTGTTTGATCACGTGGATCATAAACTGCTTTTAAAAAATGTGAAAGGTATGGAATTAGAGGAAATGATAAACATAGTCTAAGATTCATGAGTGCACAATTTTGTTTCTATAAATCATTGAATTTTACTTTCACAGTATTGTTATTTAAGGAATTTTATCCAGTTTGTGACTAACAAATCTTTGAATTCCTAAATATAAAAATAAATTTACATTAAGTTCTGAAAAATTTTCTTTAGGGATATTGACTAACTTTGGTCTGCCTGGGTAGTAGAGTGTAGAGACACGCAGATTGCCGGTGTCGCGCACACGGTCCTGGTAGTAGTCACAGGATGGTGGTGGAGGTGGTGATGGTAAGATGCGCAAGGAAGCCTGGTTTTCACGGTCACTACTTTCTTCACAGGAACGCAGTTCTTCTTCATCGCTAGCTAGTAGGCTCGCCTCTAAAGTAGGAGATACACTAGCTGCTTCTTGGGTAAAAAAAAAAATGAAAGAAGTTTTACAAGATTAACAATTTAGAACATTGATAAAATATAATTACCTTGAATACTTTCAGTAATATTTTCCTGTGCATATGCAGGAAATAGAGACATTATGATAGATATAAGTCTTTAAAAAACATAATAATTAACAAATGTAGTAGACTGCTAGTCAATTGTATTTGTTTTTGCAAATGTTTCTTTTTAAATTTTAGTTTTAGCTTTCCTATTAAAAGAGCATCATATTTAATGATTTAAATATCAACAATCTATAAACGCTAGAATACCGACGCTATCATAGTCAACAATTCAATCAAAGAGTAAAAGTATAAGTAGGTAAGTAAATTAAATTCAATCAACAAATAAAATTCAACGTTGGTTGTTTGTTGTTTGTTGTTTCATCGTGCGTGATTCATTTTCTCCCTCTTTTTTAATTATTGGCGTTGCGCTTGTGGATTTCGCCATCGTGTTTTTTTTTTCATCGTGGTTTCATCCACAGACTTAGTAGATAGCTTAGTTGGCCTAAGGTTTCATGTTGCATGATTTTGACATTTTTGACAGTAGTCAGCACGAATGTCAGTTGACATTCGTGGTAGTCAGTGATAGAGATGGACGTTTAAACCCAAAGCACTTAATTAAGCATGCTTTTCTCAATAAGTACAAAAGCGCTTTTTTATAGAAGAAAAGTATGCTAATGCTTATTGTACGTCCCGTCATCTTTCTAGATATAACTACTAGCTTCAATAAATTTTTCTGTTTCGGTATTTTCTATTAGAGGGCAGCACTTTACATAAATGCACTGTATTATAATAAACAACGCATGATATCCATCTAGACTTCTTGCAACAACTTTTTTGGTTGGTTAACCCAAACCCTTTTTTTAACGGAACTTATACTTAAAAAAGCAGTCGGCATGTCGTTGTTGAAATAAGTGCACGTTATGTTGAATGTTAATTAATTGCGTAAGTTGAATTGTATGCGTAAATAATTTGCTACTGAAGTGACTTTTGTTTATTCCTAAATAGACAATGTAAATACGTTTTGTTATGAGGTGATGGTGTGTATATAAAAGATTCTAAATATTATTGAACTGTATTAATTTTAAGATTGTGCAAATAAAATGTCGAGAAACGTTAATAGTATGAAAAAAAAACCGTATCAAAATCCGTTGCGTAGTTTTAAAGATTTAAGCATACATAGGGATATAGGGACAGAGAAAGTGACTTTGTTTTAATTTATGTAGTGATAACACAAAGTTGCACGCTTATTAAAACGATTTCCAAACGTCAGTTGAAAAAAAGCTTGTAAGTAATAAGCAGTTTTTAAAAACCCTTATTAAAAATCGTACAACGTAACAACTCTAGTCAGTGACAGTGACTATTTTTCAACCCGGAACCCTGCATTGAGTGGAGCCAAGGAGGCTGCCCTTCGTTGGGTGATTATAGAAAACCTCGATAAAAATAACCTCAAAGCGACGGCATTGGGACACGCGGTTTCGGGGCGCTAGCGAGTGGGTGGATGGTGAAGATCATTAGAGAACTAACACAAACCTCAGATACAGCCCGAACTCTGAGTGTAATCAGGGTTACCCATACGTAGGGGGCACCGCCTGGGCTAACATCTGATCTTCCATACTCGTGGGAACAGTATGGAGAATTTGACGACACAAAAGACAAATATCTACGTCCTCGGAGCCATCAGAGACTCCGCGCGTTTTGCATAATTCTGCCAATTGCACGTGCGTAATCAATACAACGGTAAGGATTTAATTTTGAAAAGAAAAAGGATTTCTTGTACATTACACTACACTCCGATTAGTTTGCCTGTGGCATCATCTCATTGTCGACAAAATACGTTTTTGTGGCAAGCAAGTAGAACTTTAAATGAATTATGCAAGTCAAAAGACTTAGATATACGATATTTTATTGTAATATATTAGAAGCCAAGCGATTAGTGAGCTATGATTTTTTTTTTTTTTGTTGAATCTTACTGAACATGGATTAGCATTTTTGTTTGTTTTGATACATATTGTATTTTTCTTTTTTCTCTTTTTCTGGTGCATAATGTTTTTCTGTTCTAAAATTCCACTTTACGATACCTATGTTCATTCTGATTGTTAACTATAACTGTAACTAATTGCGGAGAAGCTCGGTAGCGTAGTGGATAAACGCCGCGGCACGCGATCGTTGTCGTTAAGCAACTTTTGCAAGGGTCAGTCACGGGATGGGTGACCAAAAAATTATTATCTCGAGCTACTCCGTGCTTCGGAAGGCACGTTAAGCCGTTGGTAGTCGTTAATGGGTATTAATGGGTATTAACGACTACAAATGCAGCCGGTGCCAATCCGCATTGGGCCAGCGTGGAGGGTCATGGCCCATACTCCTTAACCATCCATAAGGAAGGCCTGAGCCCCTACAGTGGGGACGAAATAAAGGTCTGATGATGATGATGATGAACCGTGAAAACCTTTAACTGGCCATATGTAAGGCAATTTGATGTCTTCATATAAAAATCATGTGCTGTTGGTATAAATAAAAAAAAATAAAAATAAAAAAATATTTCACTTAGTCTGAAAGTTTAACGAACCTGTAACAGTACTGGTTTTGCCTTTCACAAATGTTCATAATGTCATATTTCATGATCCTTCGGCCTCATATGATAATATTTAGAATAATAACAAAGCTTTAATTGTTCTGACTAAAAACCTGAATGATCAGCCGTTGAAAATGCATTGGATGTAATGAGAAAGTATTAAAAAAAATCAAACTAGATGTCGCTACGGTATTTTCTTGATTTCTCCATGACAACCCTTCCGGTTTTCTTTCATGTATAAAAGTAAATTAATTTACAAAACACAATAAACAACTCATATTCTATTTGTACTTTTTCGTATTTGTATTGATATCTAAGTTTCGAACTTTGCAAATTTCAGTTTTTTAATATGCCAGTTAAAATGTACGGAAATAACTATCATTAGTCCATTCGTTTCCTGCAAAAATCAACTTTTGCTAGAGTCGCCATCTAGTGAGGAGCTTTTTTTTAGTGCTTTTTTTTTCTTAAAATACTTGCTCATTAGATTAGACAGCTTAGATCTTAGGCAAAAATTAAAGTATTTATTTAGGTTTCATTTGATATGTTGATAATTTTTCGATGTCGATATTGCTGCTTCTTCGAAACCGATACATATCATTGCATCTATAAGCCCTAGTGACAGACATATACTTTACTCTCTGTGACGGACTTTTTTTGGTTGATGCAAAGAGTAATGTAATATTGGATACCTACGTGATTTATCATTTCCACGGCCCGTCAACTCCGTACAAGAAACCAATCGCGTAGGGGTCCAGTGATGTATGACATTTCCACACGCCCCTCACCCCTGTCAGTAGATGGAGACATGACATCTGACAGAAACTGTCATTACAACAAAGAGTAAAGATACTAATGTTTTAATTAATCTTTAATTCATTTCATTTTCATTTTACATGTTGGAATTAATATATTATAGATTCATTCACTTCACATTGGCAAAATTATGTGAAATGCGCAGATATGCCATTAATAAAAGAAGAAGAAGACTAAAGTATGTACCTACATATCAGGGAATTACGAGTGATTGAGTAAAGTTTCGTTTGTGCTTACCCTCTTCGCTTTATTTGTAATATAAACTCGCCTTTTTTCGAAGTATTTTTCTTTGTAGAAGATGCCTAGGAAATTGGTGTGTTGTGTTATGGTTGTGTTACACGCATTGTTAAAGTACGAACAGGACGCTATTCTTTGTAAGATTCTAGTGAACGAGAAAAGATTCTCCAAGTGGTTACAATGTCTTAGTGCTGTGTGTGATACTGAAAATTTGAATACAGGCAGAAGTGTCATTTGTAGCAAACACGTTGTACCAAGATTCATTACTCCAAAATCACGACTCTTGGGTGACGCATATCCGTCATTGTTTAATGATGATCTCAATCAGCCTACCCTCTTCAAGCAATACTGGTAAGGCTGGTTTAATCTGCTATTACCTTTAGATAATTTAGTTAAAATGATATGTATCTTCACTTTATGTTGTGTTTTGGAATACCGCTATTCTTCATTACAATTTTTTGTTATTACAGAAATTATATTCACTTGGGAACACAGCTATGCAAGAAAAAGTCGTGTTGACCACACATATTAGAAAGTGGAACTGAACAGAGGTTTGTTTTTAATTTATTTTATTTAGATAACAAAGTTCATGCTGCAGTTTTGGTGTATTTTAATATAGATTTTTGCTTTAAAAAAGTCTAGTAGATCTCTCTTTCTTACACACATAAAGAAAAATGACATTAAGTTACTTAATTCTAGCGGGCAAGCTAGAAGTGATTTTGATCAGAGAATAAATTGATAATATAAATAACATATTTCTAATATCATCTAAGATTATATCCTGTTTTTTAATCTTACACACATAATATTGATTTCGTAGGTGGTGTAATTTTAAAAGAACAAATTGAGACTCCCGTGTCTGCAGCCACTGAGTTTACTCAATTAGTAGCTTGCTCTGGAGATTAAAATATGAAACAAACTAAATTATCTGGTAGGACCTGTCTCTTTCTTTAGTGTATCTTTATTTTAATCAAATAGTAGTTCTAATAGAGAAATTCACTGAATACTTTTGATGTTACAGACCCTGTGAAATGTACCCAAACAAAAAGGAAAAGGCTTATTACCAAATAAAGCCAATTGTCACCTTTATACCAGAGAATTTATGAAGAATATAACAAGCCAAAGACGTAGTTGAACTTTCATAATAAAGTTAAGAATACTTAAATACCGTTAAGTTTTGTAAAAAGTTATCATTTGAAAAGTTCTAACAGAAAATGAACACAGTTGCAAAAAACGTTTTTGAAATGCAAGTGAGCATGTGCTCTAAAAATAAACATGAGAGGTGATTCACTACCGAAGAAAAGATAATTGCTTTATCAATATCAAAGCATAGTCCAAAGTGTTATTGATTTTTAAACAAAATTTTTTATTTTATTATCTAAAACTACACTGAATACTATGATTAGAAAATCGATCATAGAACCAGGCTTCATGTAAGAGGTAAATATATTCCATATAAGGTTTTTCATACTACTTTTATAATTTTTTGTATAACTACCAAATAATAATATGTACCTACCTATTTGAGTTTATTTTTTCAGGTGGACAAATGAAACTCCAAAAAATATGCTCCATTATATTTGATGAGATGTCATTAGAAACAGCACTTTCGTATAATAAAAGTTAGTAGTAGAAAAAGTTGTTGAATTGGACCTTAATCCCATCGCAATAATATATGACCAAGGCTCAGCTTTCCAATCAGCACTCAAAAATCTAAAAGAAGACACTTAGTGTGATCAAATTTTAAATTGAAATCACAGGTTGGTACAGAGAATTATATTTATATGAAAGAAAACTAATAGATTTAATGAAAGTAGTGAAGGTTCCTATTTTTATATAGTTATCTATGTTTTAAGAAGTTCTTAAATTTTTGTTTCAGTTGGCATTCTTAAAATATGTGGGGTGGATTTGAACATTATGATTCTGCACACTTGATAAAATGCATCAGGAACAATTTTTTAACAAAAAATTTAATATTGGATATTAAACTTGCAAAATGGCATGATATTATTTATGTCTATGAGACAGACTGTCAACACACTGAAGCTGGGCTACGTCATAAATTAAATGACCAATGAGTTATACCTGATAAAATTAAAATGATGAAGGTAATGCATTGGTTATTATATTAGTATAACTTAAATTAGTATAAATAAAAGAAATAATTTGTATTCAGTTTCTATATTCTCTATCAGAGCAAGTGTTGGTTCAATGACCTGTATTTTTAATTATGTAACAAGTAGTTAATATAGTTTACACTTAAATTACAATAATGATTCTCTAATGAAGATAATTTTAAATATGATATCTCTTTTTGCAGGTAAAAAATTGTGTAAAAATATGTCTGCAGCTTTGTCTTACACTGCAAATTTCTGTGAGTATTAGATGAAATTTACTAACAGTTAATAGTTTTGAATCAAGTTTCATACAATTATTGTATGAATATTTTAATTTGCAGCAACTTATGTGGATGGTAGGCCCGTCAGCACAACATTAAGAAATACAGCTGAAGTTGTTTCATTCTTTGACCAATTATTTGATAGTGTCCATGGAGCATCGATAAACAAAAAAAAGCATAAAGGAAAAGAGCATCATTCTTTCTGGCCAAAGGCAATTGAAATTTTAGAAAAACTTAAATAAGTTTATAAAAAAATATCAGTGCCCTCTTTAAAAAAAATGTGATTACCTTGAAAAGTTTCATAAGGTTGTGCCACTAAAAAAATGTAGCTAAGAATTGCCGAGAATGCAGAAGAGCTGTGTAAAATATAATAAGTTAAAAAATAAATTATTCAATAAATAATATTGGAAAAATGTGTGTTTCATTTACGTGTTCGTTTTTCCTTTTTTGTTTTAATACAACAATAATAATAAGCTAGACTTATCAGTCTCCTTTATTGTTATTGTTGTATTAAAACAAAAAAGGAATTTAAATTAAAGTAAAAATAATGTGGAAACTAGGAAGACGGCTAGGTACCTACCCAAAACAGGGCTGTATAGCTAAATGCCTTTGCCGATAGTAGGTCTGTATATTTAAAACGAATGATGCTGTCATGTATCACTGGCTCCCAATCACGCTCTACGAAGAAATTTTTTGTTAGGAAGTTGGTCGTCTGATACCTACTAAGTCTGTGATCATTTCGGAACTAGCTTCTTTTGCTGTAAGGAGCATTACGAGAACCGGTTTTCTTATTTAGAATACCTTACGAAATTAAATCTGCTTTAAATCGATACCCACGTTGTGAAGTTTTTCTCAAATCAAGAAAAATGCCAGTAAAAGCGGTGTGCGTTCTCAATGGCGATGTCTCCGGCACTGTTTTTTTTGATCAGCAAGTAAGATAAAATTTTATATAAAGAAAATTTAAAATTACTTTAACCTTCAACAAATGTTGTTTAAAATGCAAATCATTATTAAGTAAGTAATATTTTCAAGAGTCGTACGAAGTTAATTTGTTTTAACGTTTAACCGGTTTGGCGTGTACATGGAGTAATATTTTTCTGTAAGATGTTAGAAATAAAGCACTTATCTAAAAAATAATTGGTATCAGAAGAACATAAAAAATAATTATGCACCATGTGTACTTGCATATTTTTTTATACTACGTATCACAATAATTATACAAGGGTCTGCAGGTCAAGGTCGTTTGTGTACACATATCGTTTGGGGTGTCGCATCAATGTTGCATTCACAATGTTATGCTGACAAATATTCTTAATGAAAAATGCTTAAAAAATCCACTTTGTTCTTAAATGCAAAATTGATCAAATATAATAATTAGAACAAATTTTCATTTTTGAAAGTTTAAATATATGTCTATTAGTAACTAACAGTAAGAACAGCAATGGCAATAACGTTTAAAATATATTGAATATGTAATGATGAATATTAATTATGTATATATCTAGTAAACATGTTTTTTTTTATTTTTTTTAGGATGATAAGGCACCAGTAGTGGTATCTGGAGAGGTCAAAGGTTTATCTAAGGTAAGTGTTGAAAAAGAAGCTTTTATATTATTACATACACTTATAATAATAATTTTTTGAATTAACTTGTTGAATAACAAAGTACTTTTGAAGTCATTCATCATTTAATAAAAGTTCTATGATTCAATAAGTTAATAGAATATGTGTTAATAATTTGCTCTGCTTTAGCTGTGTTAGAGTGTGTTGTTTGTTTGTTTTTGAATAAATAAATAAATATAATCATATTATGGAGCTTGGAAGCATGCAAATATCATATATTCTTTCTTGACCATTAAAAGTATATAATATGTGATAGCTCTCATCACTGATTTTTGATTTTGCATAAAACGCCTAGGCTAAAATTTTCATTTATTGTTAGTTGTGATCTATAAACTACATGCATCTTTGTATAGAACTAAGGAGGCATAAATGAGTTGTTTATATGCATAATTATAGGTATACTATGAATAACGAGAAAGCATAGTCTTAATAATTCATGGGTCCATTCTGGGTATATTTGGATGTGGATTGGTGGGTTCTTCCATTTTTATTGATAATTGTTGTCTCCCGAAGATGAAGTTTATTCATCAGTTGAAGCATGTTGAATTTTAGGTAGAGCGTTATATTTATGGAATATATTAAAAGTAAATAATATGTGATAGCTCTTTATCACTACACAATATGTATACACAATAGTTACCTTAGACCACGATAGTTTAATGATAAATGCACCATCATTATCTCTTCATCTATTCAATATACATACCAGTATAAAAGTATAAATCTCTATAGGTATATTATTTCTAAATTAACTGAGCTATTTAAAAAAATGTATATGTTGATTTGTCTATGAACAAATTTTGTTTTTATTGTAAAATTGAAATAGTGTTGGTTACTTTACACAGGTGACCATAGATTTTAAATTGAAACATATAAATATATTCTTATTCTGTCTGTAAGAATTTTATTCAAACTATAACACTCGTTTTTTTGCAATGGTTAAATTGTAATGTTTAAATGATATACTTTTATATATTTCTTCTGTGCTTGTTTTAAGCCTTAATAATAGAAAGCCTCGACTTAAAAGAATACTTATTTATTGATTGATTAATTACCATTCAATCATTCAGGGCAAACATGGCTTCCACGTGCATGAATTCGGTGACAACACGAACGGGTGCACGTCCGCCGGGGCGCACTTCAACCCGTTGAAGCAGGAGCACGGCGCGCCCGACGCCGCCGTGCGCCACGTGGGCGACCTCGGCAACATCGAGGCGGCCTCCGACGGTGGCAGTACCAAGGTGACGTCTTCATCATCATCATTAACCTCCCCGCCTTGAGTGTGTTTCAGTCTTGGGGCACGATATAGTTTCCCGTCAAAGTCCCGAGATATACTGGTTCATTAGACTTCTCAGAATAAGATTAGGCACAAAGGCAATTTCTAAGAAATGTCTACATTTGTTTAAGGATAAATAGAATAGGTGTCATGTTAATTCGTCCGAATATTAAAATAAAAAAAAACCCGAAATTTCCTAAATAATTGAGAAATAATGCCACAAATTAATCAAAACTTGTTAGGAAATGTTACAAACCTCAGAATCTAAATATTTAAGGATCAACATCAAATGTTATACTGATAACCTTCTCTTTTTCGAAGTCTGTTAACAAGTACCCCTTCACATATTGATGTAAAGGTTGTGTCGGCAGGTGAACATCCAAGACTCGCAGATCTCGTTGGTGGGGCCGCACAGTATCGTGGGGCGCACGCTGGTGGTGCACGCGGACCCCGACGACCTCGGCCGCGGCGGGCACGAGCTCAGCAAGAGCACCGGCAACGCGGGCGCGCGCATCGCCTGCGGGGTCATCGGCCTCGCCAAGATATAAAGGTTGCTTATGTGCCCACCTTACATATATGAGATAACGAAATTGACATGATATATCATCAAGAATTTCATTGCAGTAGGCAGTGAATTCATAAGTCGCAGGTGATTCTTCCCATCATAGATATTCTGACTCCTGTTATTACTCTTATCTTAAATACATCGGTTTCAATTAGATATAACTTTGGCACATCCTAGAAATGTGCAAAAGTTATCTCTATTATTAAGAAATCTAATCCAAATACGTTTTCTGAGTATCGCCCTATATTCATTCTTCCTCTCCTCGAAAAAACTATATCCGGCTAGCTTCTTGCTTTCCTTGATCAAAAACCTACTCAACTTATATACTTGACTCCTTTTCGATCCGGCGCTTCCGTTCAGACCACAGTACTTCTAGTGCATTGGTAAAGACTATAGATGACATTCGACATGGTATGAAAAATCGGCAGCTGATACTGGTAACGTTACTTGACTTAAACAGCGCCTTCGGCCCGGTTCGACGTCGGCAAGGCATCCGTGGTGAAGATGACTTTTCCTCGTGGTGCACTATAAATACCAGAGTTCTTCATGGTGGCGTCTTACCTCTCCTTTTCTCTATATTTATAAATTCCTATCACCTTTAATGCTGATCACTATATTCCAACCTATGTCTTCTCCCTTACCTAAAAAATATGCTTTTTTTTTACACTACACTCTTCTTCAAACCCTTGATGTTCCTTGTTATACTACCGAATTCCTTTCCTATGCACGGAGGTGCATGCTGTGGACTTCTGGAAGTCCTTACATGTAGCCCCATTAGGAAAGCTTGCATTTTGCATTGTTTTATTGATCAAGTGAAGACTCATTTCCTGTCTCTGTCTTTATTGGATTTCCTTTATTTCTATTGCTTTACTCTATTGTTTATCTTTTTACTCCTTTATCTTGCACCCTCCCTCTATATATTTATATCTTTTTCTTTCGTCATAGGTTGCCTAGAAGAGATTGCAATACGTAGCAATAAGGCCACCTTTTGTCTATTCTCTTTTTTGTGGCTCTTGTAATACGTCCGATGTAGCATGCAATAAAGAATATTATTATTAAAATTTATCCTATATTAAATAAGAATCTACAGATTAAGACAAGAGTATTTATTATACCTATATTTTATTGTTTCAGACATCCATTGATATGAAATCATCAGTACTGGACAAAAAATCGACCGATATGATTACATAAAATTTAATTAGATGCGCCCTGATAATGTTTACGTTGAAAGCAAATATATTTTCGCTATCAAAAAATAAGCTCCCTTAACCTGCTTCAGAGGCTGGTAACAGCATGGAGTGGGTGTGGTGATGGTATCTAATGTTTAATTAGATTGTTGTGCGCATCTACTACTTATTATATATAGAAGTTTTAACTTCAAATACATCTTAGTATGAGTGGCTTATTGATATCTGTTTATATCATGCAATATCAGAGCTATTGTAAGTACTTTATTAACCAAATGTTTATGGTCTGTTTAATAGGGTAGTTTGTAAGTTTGAACCAGTGCTTTCTGTGTGGCTGGCTGAACCTAGGATTTCTGAAATTAAAGGTTCCATGGTTTCTGAATTGAAAACTTTGTGTAGTAGTAGTTATTTTGATAATATGTTTCTTGTTAGGTCTTAAATAGAAGTTTTTAGTACATTTTTTTGTAGCCACACTTGCACTCATTACATTTTCTATGTACAGTGGTTAAATATTTTTGTTTTTTGTTTGGTGTTGGCAATAGCATTTTGCAACATGTGCATTTTAAATAAAAGTGTTCTATTATATACTGGTTTTCTTTTTCCTTTGCTGTTGAATAAATAAGTTACTAATTTTGTCATGATATACATAAATGCAATAAAAATATTTTTTTCCATCATGAATACTTTAATTGTCCAATAGAATACATTTTAAAACTTTTATTTGTAATAAATATACTACATGAACAATCATGAGATTGAAACATGACTGGCGAAGACATTTTCCATCGCCAAGGGCAATTATCGCAACTTTGGAAGGAACATGATGCCCAATAATGTTTAATGTCCTTAGTAGATACATATTCAGTCAAGCTTTGGCACACTTGTTCTATGATAGTTGGTGTAAAAAAGCCTTTTACAATGATAATAGATATTCTATTTGATCTTAAAGCGTTATCACTATTTGGTTGTTCATATGAACTGATGTAAGCTTCTTTTTGATCCATACTAACTTTGTGTGCCAACATTCCAATCCACTCATGCATTTCATTGATAGGGACGTCCTGTAAAACTGGGATCTCTGTTATTGTTGAACTGATTTTCTTCACCACTAAAGGAGAAAGTGCAACACTTACTCCTCTATCATCAAAATATTTAGCAATGGATGATGGGCAAACATTGACATTATTAGGCTCCCAAAGAATATTGAAGTCAAATGGTTCAAGTTTACTGAGACTTGAATGAAATTTATCTATGTGTCTTAATTTTTTTAAATCCAATTCTATTTCATAAAAGTCATGGTTTCGTTTAGTACCTTCTAAACCTAAGGATTGATAAACAAATTTTAGAAGGTGTAATGTTAATATTCCTTCAGGTGTAATAGCAGCACAATTTTCTATGATACAATTTCTGTTAACTGATAAACAGTAGAGACGTCCGTTTTTAACGAAACTTTCAATAAATGTTGGTACCAGAAACTCGGTGATTGAACAGCTCTCGACTCGGTAGTACTCGTTGTCTTCTAATATTTTTTCTTGAACCGTATTTGGAACATTCATTTCATGGGGACAAGTCAATATAACACTTTCATAAAAATTGTTCATTCTTATAGATTTTTGTATGAAATCAAAGTCTTCGTTTTCCTTAATACATGTTATAACTTTCGGCAAGGGAAAATTGGATATTTCTGGACATAACATTTTTTTAAACAATAAGCAGATATCCCGAAAATTTTTAGGCTAAAAAAATATATCACTCTATTCTGGCTTGGAACTCAGTCTTTTAGCCCATACAAAATAATGAGAAAGTATTTAAAAAATAAAAATTCGTTCTTGAAATCATATTAGATGTCACTCACGATGTTTGGATTTTGTTTATGATATTCATTAAAATTTTGTTTCTGACGTATTAAAAGTAAATTGAGTATCGAAAATTAATAAATATGACATCGTTTTTTGTTTGTTACAATAGCCTGGCAGATTTTTAGGTAGTGTTGGCACTACCTAAAAATCTGCCAAACCCGTCTCCAGAAACTGCCAAAAACGCCTACATATTATTGCGTCCTTAGTGTAAACAAATGAGGCGTCCCTGTCATTTATTTTCTTCTTTTTTAATTACGGTTTGACGGTGTCAGTTTATAGACGGTTCGAACAAAATCTGCGAAACCAAAATATATCTATAGAGTAAAAACACAAATGACAGTTCGAAAGTTAACAAAGTTATTGTCATAGAGGAACAATATAGGTTAGGGTAACAGTTATTGTTTAGATAAGTCGATTTCGATATATATCGGTTACAGTCGATTTATAAAAAAAAAATCGCTGGTGACTACTGAATTTAGGGAAAGGGCTTGAACAGTCTACTTCCGTGAAGCCTGTTAGTTCGTGTAAAGTTGGTTTCTACACACGTACGCATGACAAATTGGAGAGCGTTTTGTCATTTTCTCGGGTACACCCATACGTTACGTACATACGTTATTTCACTTTCGGCCTAAGAAAAGTGACGTATAGTGTAGACAAAGCGTTTTTTACCCGATTGCGCTATGCAAAGGAGGGTAATGTGTTTATCAGTCTATGTATGTATGTATGTTTGTTTCTATGTGAGGTTCTAGAGACCAAACGCGTAGGCCGATTTTGATGATTCTTACGTCAATCGATTCGTCTCAACCTTGCGAATATCACAACAGACATGACAGTAATCAAAATTCACCACAGCGACAACCAGACACCATATTGTCTAAATAAAAAATGAACTATTTCAAGTGGGGTGTCGTTAAATAGGTAATTTGAAATCATTTTTATTCCTTTTATCATTTTTCATTTTAAATAACAGTTTAGGATATATATCAAAATGAAGTTGTTTAACAAAACATTCTTGCTAATTTTCTTACTTATTGATTTAAGTTTTTATTTAAAGTATAAACAATATACAAACAAAAAAAAATACAGTGAAAAAGCATGAAGAACAAATATTTTTGTTAAAAATTAAAGCATATGTAGCTTGAATCGAGTTAGGTCTCTAGAGGGATTAATCATCAGTAGTTTAGACCACCGTAAGTTATTTAATAATCCCCACGATATGAACTCCCTCAATTAAATGACTACATTGTGAAATTTACCATCTTATAACGAAGTTAACGAATCGTAACTAAAAAGTATAAAATAAAAATAAATAATTTAAAGAATAACAAAAAAACCCGACTGCGTAAAAACGAATTTTAAAAATACATGAAAATATTAACTTAAATAAAAACTAAAAAGAAAGAAACAAACCCAGCAGTTTAGAATTCTGTTAAGTAATACAGAACAGAACGACTCATAGTCGGGGCCCATTCAAATTTTTTCGATCAAATCTTCCCAGGACTATGAGTCGTTTTTTGGCTTGTTTCTTTCTTTTTAGTTGTTATTTTTGAACTTATCATGCTATACGTGTTACTTTTGAAAATAGCGTTCAATAGGTATGTTCGTGGTAACAATGGGAAAATGCCTTATTGTTAGTTTAAATAGATTGCGATCCGAATGACATAAAACATTATTATGAAACTAAGCACTAATAACATTATTAAATAAGGTTTTATAATAGTGTCACTAATATCACATATGTGAAATGCCGTAGGATGTTAAAATTTGAACTACTGATATACATTTCACTCTATGGATTTCATTCGATTATAGGTTTCGATATGTTGGTACATTTTGATATCGATTCACATATTGCATTTACAATGCTATACTGAAAAATATTCTTAAAGAAAAATGCTTTACAAATGCACTTTGTCACTGGCACTCTGACAAAGCACTCGAACATTGATGAAAACGTCTTGGGTTCTAGTCCCATCTCAGATTGCTAGAGACAAAGTGGATTTTTAAGTATTTTTCGTTAAGAATATCGAAATTTCTGATTCATCGATATACGAGTATCAATGTATTTGGGCGTCTATATATCGAAATATATCGGCTTCCCGATACATCTCTGATATTCAGATCGGGTTTAATTAAATAAAATACGTTCGTTCACGATAAGCGACGTTTATTAACTGTCATCACACTACATCATCCCCCTTACAATAAAAAAATTATTAAAAAAAATGATAAACCTTAATTACATTTCATTCGTTAGTAACATTTCATCTTTTAAAAATTTTATTCTTTCACTTTAACATTGGTACAATATAACTTAATATTTTCGATCGATACAAGTGTAATACATTGGAATGTCTAGTCAAATCAATCTCGGGTTATGATAACAAACATTGTGTCAGTATTCTAAGTCACAGAATGAATGATCTTAACAAAAAAAAATATAGAGTTACAAAGTCTAAGCATTTAATCATATCAATCTTAACTTTAAATGTATTTGTTTGTATAAAAAATTATTTTATATAAATATTTAACATATATGTAGTTATATATTTTTATGATATATATTTATTTATATATTTAATGTGAATATTGCTCGAGCAATTATAAACTTATGAAACTACAAATTAAGATAGAGCGCTCTATTTTATCTTATTCTAAGTAAAAAGGTTTTTTAAACATTAACTGCTCAAAGCATGATTTCGTTATAAAAATTTGTTTACACGTTTAAAACAAATATTATTTTTCCTTATATAACTTTGTTCGATTTTTATGTATAATGTCTTGCATGTTACCTTTTTGTATTCTGACATTTGTACCTAGGTCCTCTATTACATTATATGGTCCTAAATAAATTGGTTGACTTTTATCATTTGTTTCATTTTTTATCAATACCAAATCATCCTTTTTGTAACTCTGTGGTCTTATTGTTTCGTCATATTTCTGTTTACGTATTTCTTTTTGTTTTATTAAGTTTTCTCTTGCGTGATTATGTGCTATTTTTAACCGGTATTTAAGTTCGCATAAATAATCGTCAACATTATAAATTGGATCTATTGGATGATGTGTTATTGATGATGGTAGATTACATAATTTACCGAAAACGAGTTCATAAGGTGTGTATTCTGTTTCAGTATGTACTGTAGTGTTAAATGCAAAGGACCAATATGGCAGCCATTTTGCCCAGTCATATCTCGACTTTTCTGTTTGTATTCTAAGAAATGATCTTAAATTTTTATGTGTGTTTTCTAGAGAACCAATTGTTTCGTGGTGATATGCTGTCGAATGTAGTTTTTCTATGTTTAATAATTTACAAATTTCTTTCATCGTTGAACTTAAAAATTCTGTACCTCGATCCGAAACAATACAACTCGGGATTCCGTATATTAATACATAATTGTTAACAAATGATTCTGCTACAGAAATTGTATCTTTTGATTTTAACGGAAAAGCAAGTACATATTTAGACATTTCACACTGCATCGTTAGTACATATACATTATCATTTTCATCTTTTGGTAGAGGACCTAGTAAATCTAAATAAATCTTTTCTAACGGTTTATATGATGTCGTTGTAATCTCTAAAGGCTGTTTTACGTTTTTCGAATGTTTCATAACTTGACACTTTTTGCATGTCGTAACAAACTTAATTACGTCTAAATTTAAATTACACCATGTATATTTTCGTTTTATATTATTAATCATACGCCTAATACCTGCGTGTCCACTAGTTGGTAATAAATGATAATCATTAAGTATCTTTTGTCTTTCTTTTTCATCTGTAATTCTTTTAACTTTACTTAATATATTTATTCGTGGGCCCTTCCACGTACTTCTACTACTTATTTCCTTTTTTAGTTCTGTTATCAACGTTAACTTATCTTCTTCTTTTATCATATTTATACTTTTTATATTTAATTTTTCACAAAATTCTTGTAACTGATCAGCAAATTCTGCTCGAGTAAAATGCTGTCTGAAACTTAAATCTATAATTAATATATTCTTACAAGGAACGAAAATTAAAACATTTTTTTCGTTTTTTATTTTATCATATTTTGTATACTTCTTATTTATATTATTTCGAGTTTCGAATATTAAATCGACACTATCTATAGGTTTACGTAATAATTCTGATATTATCGGTATTTCTAAATCATCGCTTGGTTTTCGCAGTATTTCTGATGTTTCGGACGTCCTTCGATCAGAATTACTTTGAGAACTTCCGCTTTTCCTACGTTCTAATTTCCTTCTTTGTTTTCTTGTTAACACATTACAATTTTCCTCGCTAGACATTTTCTTTAATTCGTCTGAAGTTACTACTATTCTACTTAAACTGTCTGCGATTACGTTTGTCGATCCTTTTATATAAACGATATTGTAGTCAAATTCTTCTAATTGTAATCTAAATTTTAATAATCTGCTCTCTGGATCTTTTACTTTAAATAAACTTATTAGTGGTCTATGGTCTGTTTGGATTTCAAATCTTTTTCCTATTAAATAAGGTTTAAAATATTTTACATTCCATACTATGCTCAATAATTCTTTATGAATTGTAGGATAATTTCGTTCTGCTTTGTTTAATGGGCGACTTGTGTAAGCTATTGGTTTCATATTTTTATTCATAAGAACGCTACCTATCGCGACTTGACTTGCGTCTGTTTGAAGAATAAAATTATTATTTTCGCTAAAGTCAGGGTATTCAAGAACTGGAGGTTGAGTTAATTTTTGTTTTAATAATACGAAAGCATCTTGGCATTCTTTTGACCAATTAAAAGTTACATGTTTCCTGCATAATTGATTTAATGGTAATGTTATTGTTGCGAAATTGTTTATAAATTTAC